TTTATTTTACTACTTTTTGAATAATTGTAATACAGTTTATTTCAGCATCAATTGGTATTACAGTATTTTCTTTTTACAGAAACAGCCTTTTATGATCTATGTGAATGGGAAAGAGTTAACAGTATTATAACCATATGACAATTCGGCTGCGCAATGGTGGTTGCTTTTGTAATGTAGTATTAAGGTTCAATGCTATTAGCTTGCATAACCATTGGAATCGATACCCTTCACCTGATAAATGCCTTAAATTGGTTTGACAGTTTTAATGGTCAACTTGAGTATACAGATAATCTAATAATATAACTGGATATTGTATAACCTTACTCTAGTCAGTAGGACTTGGCCTTTCTCACACTATGAATCTATGATTGTCAGTTTTGAGCCTAAGCTCTGAAGTTTGTGATACATCTTAATTAGCAGTTTTTTGGTAAACAAGTTACTAAATCATAGAGAAAGAATTTCTCTATGATCCAATGAGAAACTCTAAAAGTGTGGGGTGACTTACTTGAGACACACCCCCATTACCTAAAGTATAATAGGCAAACACCCCCATATCACTGAGTCAGTAGTCAGTAGTTAGTAGTCAGTAGTAGTTAGATTCAATTTAGTAGTTAGGAGTACACAGAAGAAAAGTACAGATCCGAGCTGACTCCACACAAAACGGGTTCTCTAACATCTGAAACCTGGAGTTTAGCTGATTGTAACCAACGTACAGTTTGTGTGAATAAAAGTTTGCAGTGTACTAAAAGGAACTGTGTCTACTACTCATTAAAAGTCACCAACAACTAACCGATATTTAACACTTTGTTGATGAACAGGAACATTCAAACCATTTTCAAAACACAACAATACCCCCCTTTACATCCATCAACAAAGAAACCACCCACCGTCAATTATGTTTGTAACATTCCAGAAGCCATCACAAGACTATCCAACATCTCGTCTGATAAGGAATCGTTCAATGCAGCTGCTCCAACGTATCAAGAGGCCCTCCACGAAAGCGGCTACGACTACAAATTGAATTTTAAGCCTGTACCCACAAAGTCAATACGATCGCGCAGCCAAAATGTCATATGGTTAAACCCCCCCCCCAACCCCGTACAGCGCTAACAATTTAATTTAAAAAGCTGAAACTGTCGATTTCTAAGGTGTATTGTATACGGCCTAGGGCCTATAGGCCTTCGATGAGATTCGGCGGTCAATTGGCTTGTTCATGTTACCGACTACAATAAAAAGTTAAATTTCTTATTTTGGTTGGTATATACGCACTACATATGATAATACTCACAAATTGTTTTTGAATGTTTATATAATAATTACTGTTGGAATTTCCAGCGTATGATTACCATTGCCTTGATTGGAAATCGTAGACATCGCAAATATCGCCGACGATTTATTAGCCTATTTTAGCCTGTACTTCATATCAGTTTTATATAGGCCTACTGATTTTTTTTTTTTTTGTGTTTAATAATTCCTCCGTGATCTTTAGTCCTAACCTTTTATTTATTCTTGATAGATGATCAATACAAATTGCCATAGATTTATTTTTATGGTAAAACAGGTGCAGTAGTTAATTATTTTTAATCAATGAATACTCATTAACATATTTATATCATACGACATAAGGGAGGGCGACCTCCCCCGTTTTCCACAAAATTTAAACATTTCAACGCATATTAATGTTATGTGTTGAAATATTTGCAGCTCATTAACCTTCGTTTATATTATCATCAAGGTGCAAATGTGGACACTGTCAAGAAATGAATGCTATCGAAGAATATGTCTGTGCTGTCACGAAGTTCCAGATGTGGTTACAACAAGAGACAGAGATATTACTGTGACTGGTGATCAGTATTGCATTACTCGCCATCCAGGTTTTGAATCAAACTGTCTCGATCTATGGAGTTTGCAGATGGCTAGGAAGAACACTCCAAAGAAGTACATGTGCAGTGAAAATAAATCAGCCCATGAGTAAGTGGTTTCTGAAGGCTACTATAAACAACACAAACAACTACTGTATTGTTAATTTATACACAATATAAATGAGTAAACAGCACCACACCCAGTAACAAACAGTTACACAGTACTAGTTATAGTCACAATTAGTAAAACAATTTTTATTTGAACACATTTTAAATATAAAAATCCAATGTAATCTGTAAATCAGGGCTACTGTCTATGAAATATAATTACAGTACCTTAAAACAATCAGTATGATATCCCCAAATGTAGCAATCATTTTTTATATTTATATTTTACAGAAAATACAGGCATACCGGATACAGAAATTTTGTGAAATGGACACAGGGGTACTTTGGGCAAAGGTAACCGTGTGGTTTTTACCATCATTTGTTGTTGCCAAAATCAGGAACAAATTTAGGTTCGAGCATTACGCGGGTTTTAAATGTCCAAAGCTATAAATAAATACTAAAGCATATTTTTTTAACGATCTCCTGCATACTATCTGTCTCTTATACACATCTAGATGTGTATAAGAGACAGCACTAAAACCAGCCAATGAGCAATCCAGCTATTATAGTAGAAATCAGTGATCCAACCCCCATAAAACTGTTCACCAACTGGCACACATGGTGCTTTCCCTCCAAGGCGTTTACCTTTCCGATTCCCATATACACTACCACATCCTTTCCCTCCACCACCCGCACAAATTTCTGGCCCATTCAAACCCCCACAAATTGTTACCGAACCACAGAACACTAAATGCAACTACTGCTTCCCAATCCCGTGTTATCCCTCAAGCCCTATGATTAGACCTAACTTCTTGCTCCAATCACCACACAAACAGCAGCACCTTCAACTCGTCCAACACAAAAAAAAAAGTGATATAGAATAGCAGAATGGCCTATTTTAAGAGCAAACTAAGAGAATATATCGATAAGTAATATGAATGTGAGAAAAAGATCGTCATAAAAGAGGGGGGTTCAACAAGTCCGACAGAGTGGGTCCAAACCAAGGGGCCACCTAGGACCTCGTTGAAGGACCCGGAACAGGGGAGGCGCCAGGATTTACCCGTGGTCCTGTCTCTTATACACATCTAGATGTGTATAAGAGACAGGCTTCTGAACACTACTGTCCAAAACTTACCCCCGTATTCTTAAAACGAACTTCATTTCGTATTCTTAAAGCGAATTTCAACTAGCACTACGACTAAATCACTCGAACCTCGACTAACATTACGCCTCCTCAGACCGATTTTTTTAGTCAGACTAGGGTCAGGCTAAATTACCGACTTGAAATATTTGCCCACTAAAACATGCTTTTCGTAACTTACGATAAAGTGAAATGAATAAAAACAATTGTATAAATAGGTCTGATGTATCTCCAGTGTGCTCAAGAAAAGGGACATTACATTTAGCTTCCAAAATGCAAAATTAACATTTTTTGCTAGCCATATGCAACAGTTCCTGATTTGCATGAAATCTCTTCTTGTCTAGGCCCTGTCTCTTATACACATCTAGATGTGTATAAGAGACAGATATATATATATATACATATATATATATATACCATATATATATATATATGGTATATATATATATATGTTAATTAATGTGTATATATTTACTTACACTGTCAATTATTTTGAATTGAAATAAAAATGAGTATCCAATGGTTATATAACCTATTTTCAACATTATTTTTTATGTTTTATTGTTACATATCCATTCTTCCCATACATAAAAATTCTATAGAACTTTATAGACCTTCTATAGAGAATAATCAATTTCTACAGAAATTAGTATTTAAAAAAAAATTGTTTTATAGAGGAACTAGTTTTTATAGAATTCTATAACATACTATATACACATATTTAATGTAATTTCTATGTTTTTAATTTTTTTTTTGTTTCATTCAATATTTTATTGACACATTCGTGTCTGACCAGTATAATCCTACCAACATGTTTTACATCTTGCATATTCTATAGAAATTCTATAGAATATTCTCTATAATAAAACTAAAAATTTCAGTGCTTACCTGTACTTTTTAAAATGTATTATAACAATTTTATAGGGAGTATCTCTATAGGAACATATAAAATCTCTATAGAGTATAACATATATGAAATTTCAATTTAAATTTTTTAATTTATAGTATAATTGTATAATATTCTAAACACAGTCATTTTAAAAACTGTAACTTTTATTAGTCTATAGAAAATATATATAAAATATATTAAAAACTCTATAGAAACGTTTATAATCTGTAACATTGTTTCTCTATAGAAAGTATATATATAATGAATACGAAGGCTATGGAAGTGTTTATCTGTAAATGAAATATTAAAATTTATTTTGAAAATTATATCTATAGAAAAATTATGTATAAAATGTATACTCTTTTTTTTATAAGAACACATTTTATAAGAACACTGAGGCTAAAATTGCATAAAAATTAAGAACAAAATAAGAACAAATTGAGGCTGAGGTAAAATTTCAAACGAGGTTTATATTTTTAAAATCCAAAATATTATATCTGTACATTATGTGCAGTAAGTGTGACTGTAAACCCTCTATAATACAGTAGAGTAGGTATACCAATCTGACATTTGGGGGCCATTTTTTGTGGTGTCACTGTCTTTCACGTACATTCCAGTACCATGGTGCATACTGCCGTACAATTAAATAATTTTTTTTTGTTTAAAAGGTGTGTAAACTATGAACAAAATAAGAACATTTTGAGCTTGAATCGGCCAAAAAATAAGAACACTGAGCCTGGGAATAATTTTACTGGTTCTTATAAAAAAAAAGTGTAATTATATAAAATCTATTCAAATTCTATGAAAAATTTCTGGAACCACTAATACATTGGTAGCCTTATGGGAACTTTATGGGGGGGGGGGTAACGGGTCTGTAGTCCCCTAAACTTATCCCTCACCTATTCACATAACAACAATGCTTTAGGGTTGACAGCAAAATGTTATCAACAGCCTAACCTGTTTACTGTGTTAGCCCACCTACCAACTTATTAACGTTAATGTCGAATTGCACAAATCTGATTTGAATTGTCACTTCATGTAGAGCCAACGGAAGCGGTAGTATTTTGAATTTTTCTCTGGACATTCATGATGTTAGGCAGTTATAAACATACTCCTTGGAAGTATTTTAGCAGTACTGTATTCACTATCAAGTGGTAAGAGTTGGTTTTGTTTTATTATTCAGTTTACTACTCTAGCAGACACGCTAGCCTCGTCGGAGGCCTAGTAGTAGTAGTGGTAGATGAAGGCTTGAATGAAGAGGACTGGCCTAGCTAAGCCTTAGCCTAAGGCCTAGGCCTGTGTGTACCGCCAATACTAGCCTAGCCGCTGTACAGACACAGGCAGAACTGAGGTTCTCTGTTCTCTCTAGGCCCTTGAGGATATAGGGTAGGCTTAGAACCTGGGCCTTTTGTTGGCCTTGCCAAACTGTAAGTTAATTGCCCCATAGTCTAGCATGCCATAAGAAGAGTGGAAAATTGTATTTGGGCCGTGTCCTCACTAATGTCCATGATGCTTTAATAAAATAATGGGTTTAGTGTTAACGGGGGAGTGGGTGGTGTAAAGAATTGCACATCATTATTTGCAGAAAAAGTTAATGTATTAAATCTCTAGGCCTATACTAACATAAGTGGTGATTTTATTTCAGGATACTCAAGTCTCAGTTACTACTGTAATTAAGTGAAAACTAAATCCGGTCACAACTTAATCTTGTAGTTGAAAGCATTAATGTTTGTTTAAAGACGTATCTGTGAAGGAACAGAAAATTACCTGACATTCTTAGTGCTTTAATAAAATAATCGTGGTGGGGGGGGGGTGTAGATAATTGTATCATTATTTGGAGAAAGTTAATGTAATCAAAAGGCCTATACTAACAACATAAATGGTGACTTTATTTCAGGATACTCAAGTCTCGGTAACTACTGTAAGTGAAAACACAATCCAGTCAACTCGTCAATCATTGTAGTAGGAAAGCATTAATGTTTGTTTGAAGACGTATCTGTGAAGGAACAGAAAATTACCTCACTTACTAAAGGTAAATACAGTATATTGTTTTGTTGAAGTTTTATTTTTACTGTCCTGTACTATTAATTATTAACCACATGCTATAGATGATGCTGTAGTTAACATGATAGAGTTTAATCAAATTTAATGTGTATATATTAGGCTTGAGGCCTTAAGGGATATTGAAATTTTAATGTAGGTTAAGCTATTTTGAAAACTAGAAAAAAAAAATTCTTTTGATTAAAAAAGAAGTAACTGCTAGACTGTCATTAGCTACATATATTACTCCTATTTCAATACAATAATAAAGGGATGTAATACATTTAATAGTGGTTTCTATACTATGCGCTCTATATACTGTATAATTTTACCATTATTATTCTTTTTAAAGATTTTGTTTTGTTATATCTTTCAGCAAGAGTGAAACTCCGAAAAATGTTAGTACAAGTCACGGTGATTCAATATTTCAAACTAGATTTGTTCAACGGCATAATTCATACTAATTTAGCTTGGTACCATCGGACAAAAAAAGGCATGGTTATTGACAGTTGCTGTTGCAATATCACAAAGAATGCTGGTTTATGCACACCTGTAACACAAATGGTTCTTGAATATTGTTTTATATAATAAACTTTTGTAAAAGGACTACATTACGAAAAAAAATGCTTATTTAAACAAAAAAAGCGAAAGCAAAGAACTGTAGAATAGCCTTGAATTTGATGTACAGTATGTTTAGCAGTAAGACATTAGCAAAACGATAATATATGAAAGGGATGCTAGTAAATGAGATACTAGGGATGTAATTTCCCTACCGTATGATATTTGTTGGTGTTTTAAATTAAAGAAATTATGGTTTGTATATGAACTCATAGTGTATTTTGTAAGTCTGCAGAAGTTGATTAAAGCCATTGTTACCAATTCGAACTGGGACCATTGAAACCCAATTGGAATTGGGGCCAGTTAAAGTTGAAAACCAGTTGAATTGTCCAAAAACACACAACACCCACTTTTTTATTTTTTTTTTATAGAATACACAGATTTTCTGTATAAAATCGTTCAATTTATATACACTTTCTATACAATTGTATAGAATTTCTATTCGCATATTTAATGTATTTTTATAGGTTTTTTCTATAAAATGTTTATAGATTTATAAGTGGTTTTGATAAAATTGTTTATAGATTTTCTATAGTTTTTTAAGGTTTTTGTTTATATATAACATTTTCATAGACTTTCTATAGATTTTTAATAGAATTTTCATAGTTTTTAATATGATTTTTATAGATTTGTAAGTATTTTGATATAGTTTTAATATATTTTTTATAGTTTTTATAAATTTTTTATAGTTTTTTTCTATATATTTTAATAGATTTTAAATATAGTTTTAATAGATTTTTTATAGAGTTTTAATAAATTTGTAATAGATTTTTAATAGTGGGCGTCTATAGTTATTTCTATAGAATTTTCTATAGATTTCCTAAACAATTATGCTATAGACATTCTATAGTTTTTTTTTGATAGAATTCTATTTTTTTGTATGGGTTCAATGAGCTCAAAATGTATTGCTTAGCCTTCATAACATAAATGTATGACTACTGGCATTATAAAACGTGCATCACGTCAATATATCTTTTCAGAAGGTAAAGCGCTTTTGGCGATGTAATACATGGTTGTTGTCTATTAGCTTATTACCCGTATTTATAATGTATTTGTTAGATAAAACCACGCAAAAACAACATATAACAACAATAAAATTTAACATGCATAGAGTGGGTATTTTTTCTTACACATGGGAAATCATAAAATTCAAGGTTTTGAGTGTTTTTTTTAAAAATAATTTTAAACATAGTAATAGATCATTAATATTGACCAAGTTTTTCCAGAGTTAAAACTATTTAAGTATGTAACATTCACTCAGTGGAATTTGAATTACTGAGTAATCGGAAGTTGATGATAAGCAATTATTCAAGCAGAAATGTTTTGTGTGTTGATAAAGTATGCAGATAAGATATGACATTGATTTATTCACACCTCTTAATTACAGACATTTTTACAAATTATGCAAATTTCAAAATGGTTTAATGACATTATTACATCTTAAAACCACATTTAATGTCATATTGATTTTAAATTATTCTGACTTCATCTTTCATTCACTCTCACTATAATACAACGTTTCTAAAACAATATTCTCTCAAAATATTTTAAAATAATAATCATTCATTGAGGTATTTTTGGTTATTATCACGTTTAACATGTATGGTATGTCCATGATGCTTTAATAAAATAATAGGTTTAGGGTTAACCGGGAGTGGGTGGTGTAAAGAATTGTACATCATTATTTGCAGAAAAAGTTAATGTATTAAATCTCTAGGCCTATACTAACATAAGTGGTGATTTTATTTCAGGTAATTAAGTGAAAATTCAAAATTGTAGTTGAAAGCATTAATGTTAGTTTAAAGACGTATCTGTTGAAGGAACAGAAAATTACCTGACATTCTTAGTGCTTTAATAAAATAATCGGTTTACGGTTAACCGCGGGGGTGGGGGGTGTGAAGAATTGTATCATTATTTGGAGAAAGTTAATGTAATCAAAAGGCCTATACTAACAACATAAATGGTGACTTTATTTCAGGATACTCAAGTCTCGGTAACTACTGTAAGTGAAAACTCAATCCAGTTAACTCAATCATTGTAGTAGGAAAGCATTAATGTTTGTTTGAAGACGTATCTGTGAAGGAACAGAAAACTACCTGACTTACTAAAGGTGAATACAGTATATTGTTTTGTTGACGTTTTATTTTTACTGTCCTGTACTATTAATTATTAACAACATGCTATAGATGATGCTATAGTTAACATGATAGAGTAAAAATGGCCCTAATAAAATTCTGTATTAAAACTGATTTTTTTTAAAATAATTATATCCATTTTTTAAACTGAAATAATTTAGTTTTTAAAAGGAATCTAACATCAAATAAATTGCCATTTACATTTTACTTTTTGCAGAAATTACATATTCAATGATAAAATATTTAAAGATAAAAAAAGCTATGAACACTTTTTTTTTTTTTTTCATTTTCAACAACATAATCAATAAATCAACATAAATTATGCATTTATTAATACTATAATAATTTATTTGTGGCCAATTTCAAGAAAGCGGAATCACAATTTTCCAGAAATTCAATCCGGGTATTGGTAAACCCCACAAACAATGAGGTTATATGAACATTGGTTTTTTTTATAGAAAAAGAGAGTTCTATAATCGTAATTAAAGGGTTTGGATGGGGTTCGCAGTGTGTTTGGAGGACTGTGGTGTATTTTCAAGTATTTTTTCACAAAAAAATCAACATTTTAACCAAAAAAATAGGTTCTTATAAATATTTAATTGTCTTATTGATATACCAAGTGAGTCAATCAAAATTGAATTGTTTGGTTTTCTACAGTGTGTTTTAGGAGGTTTTTGGGAATTAGCAATACCATCTGATCCTTTTTTTATTTATTTTTTTTTTAATTCATCTTCATCTTCAAAAAAACATGACAAAGATTTCAAAGCCAAAAAAAAAGTACATTACAATATTAAAGTGTTTTTTTAACATTTGATCCTACCATTTGATCCTACCATAATTCCTTTACCCTCACAATTACACGCCATTTTAATTCTTAGCATAATTGCCATATTTACATAACTATGTATATAATATAGTATTTCAGTTTACGTTATTTAGTATAGTTTTAGGCACTTAAACCTACTTGGCGGGGAGTAGAAACCAAGTATGCAATTAAATAAGTTGCTTAAATAAATGTATTCATAATTATTAAGTTTACTTTAAAAACAATTATTTGATTAACAAATACTTCTTTGAAGTAACTCTAAGCAGAATATTTGTTGAAGTAAAGTAAGCCTCTCTTGTCCCATACATGAACTTGTCATTCAAACACACAATTAATCCACATGCTTTAACTACTGTTTATTTGCACTATTTATAACATGTAAAGTTATTTCATTTGATACTTAACAAAAGTGAATTTTGTGATTATCTATGAGTTGCATATTTTGGTAGTTGAAATACTGTATGTATGTTATTCCTTTATTTTGTTAGTGGAATAACGTTTTTAAAACTTATTTCAACTATCAAAAAATGTTCAATGGCCGTTGTTTTCTGATAATCTCTTTTTCTGATAATCTCTCAGTACATTATTTGCATTTGTTGTGTAACTGTATTGTTATTGATTCGATTCTTTCTTATTACAGTATTTAAATATTTGAAGATTTAAAAAAAAATATCATTTCTATTACTGAATTTTTTCAGTGGGGCCATTTTTACCTACTTGTCATTTGGGGGCCATTTTTACCTACTTGTCATTTGGGGCAATTTTTACTGGGGCCATTTTTACCGGGACCATTTTTACCGGGGCCATTTTTTCCGGGGCCATTTTTTCCGGGGCCATTTTTTACAGGGCCATTCTGTAATGACCTCAAGGTCAGCTCATCTGCATAACTGTGGCTATCGGCACTGCCGCAGTGCCGATTTGGCACTGCCGCAGTGCCAAAAAAAGCTGCTGTTTTCTATCGGCACTGCCGCAGTGCCAAAAAGCTGCCGTTTTCTATCGGCACTGCCGCAGTGCCAAAAAGTTCCTGTTTTCTATCGGCACTGCCACAGTGCGAAAAGCTGCTGTTAATTAATCGAATCGATGTTTTTATCGATATATGACATTGGTATAATTCATAATTTATAATTTTATTTCACTCAAAACGTAATGAGACTGGTTAGGCAAAAACATGTCCCTGTACAAGATGCCTTCCAGAGAAACAATGATAATGTTAATGGCAAAGACATAATAATAATAATAATAATAATAATAATAATAATAATAATAATAATAATAATAATACAGATAATAATAATAATAATACAGATAATAATATTAATAATAATAATAATAATAATAATAATAATAATAAATAAATAATAATAAAAAGTAAATGATAATAATAATAATGAATGAAGATCAAAATATATCATTGAAGTGAATTCAGTTATTTATTAAAACAAGATTTGGAGGGC